TTCAAACCCACCAGCCACTCCTCAGAAGGAAGATGGGGCAATCTACTTCCATAGTGATACTGCCTTGGAAACCCAAGGAGGGATTGCTATGAGTCGGGTCTGACTCAACGGCACATAACAACAGCAACATTGTTTTTGTACTAGGCACTGTGCTTCTATTCATTATCTCCTTCACTCTCAAAAAAAAAAAAAAAAAAAAAAATTGCAAGGTTACATTATTTCTATTTAACAGGTAAAAATACTCAGAAGCAAATAGGTTAACACAACACACAAAACTACTACCTGAAATCCAGACTCTGCCCAACTACACTCTTTATGTAGTAACACATTAGGTACCCTGTTTGGAAATAACCCAAACCAAACTCACCGCCATCGAATCAATTCATAGTCACCCCCACTAGGTTTCCAGGGTGGTGAATCTTTACAAAAGTAGATTGCCCCATCTTTCTTCCACGGAGTGGCTGGTGGGTTTGAACCACCAACCCTCAGGTTAGCAGTCAAATGCCTTAGGCACTGTGCCACCAGAGTTCCTTCTGTTTGGAAATAGTACCTTTAAAATATTCAAACACCATACAAATATTAAAGATACAAAATTTCTCAAAGCTTTAAGGGGGCTATAAGGGTGAACTTTAAAAAGTAGTGGTTGAAGAGTCAGAAAGGCACTCTGGTGAGGCAGTCTTAAGGCATTTGGCTACTAACCAAAAGGTTGGCTGTTTGAACCCACCAGCCAGTCCATGGGAGAAAGATGAGATGGTCTGCTTCTATGATGATTTACAGCCTTGGAAATGCTATGGGGTGGTTCTACTCTGGCCTATAGAGTTGCTATGAGTTGGAATCCACTCAATGGCAGTGAGTTGGTTTTTGGTTTCTGAAGAGTCTCCACTTGGCCCCCAACTAGCTGGGAGCTGATCTAGAGGTCTTCATGGTCTCTCCTAAAAAGTAAAATTCTGAAGTTTGGGCATTTGCTTGTTGTTGTTGGGTGCCTTTGAACAGAAAGACCCCCATGTGACATAGTAGAACTTGCCCCAAAGGATTTTCTTAGCTGTAGTCTTTATGGAAGCACATCACTAGATTGGTCTCCCACAGAGTGGGAGAAAAGTAGCTGATCAATTAACTGCTGTGCCACCAGGGCACCTTGGCATTCATTTCATCCTCACTATAATCATGTGAGATATGTATGATAGATGGCATTATCTTCATTTCATAGTTGTTAGGTCCAGTGGAGTTGGTTCGGACTCATAGCAACTTTATGTATTACAGAACAACAGAATGCCCAGTCCTACACCAGCCTCACAAACGTTTGCCCATTATTGCAGCTACTGTGTTAATATCATCACCTGTCTGACAGTTTGTAGTGGTTTATGTGCTATTGTGATGCTGGGAGCTATGCCACTGGTATTTCAAATAATTTCAGGGTCACCCATGGTGGGCTGGTTTCAGCAAAATTTCCAGATTAAGACAGACTAGGAAGGAGGACCTGGTCATCTACTTGTGAAAAATAATCAGCCAGTGAAAACTTACGGATCACAGGAGAAAACTGTCTGATATAGTGCTGGGGGATGAGTCCCTCCAGAATGGGAAGTACTCAAAATAAGATTGGAGGAGAGCAGCCTCCTCAAAGTAGAACCGAACATTTAACAGAACTGGTCTCAAAAGAAGACAGACATTAAAGATATTACATCAAAAGTTGGCTCTCAAAAGAGATTATTTTGAAATAAAAAGAGAACTAAAAATAAACAAATAAAAGGGCCAGGTAAAAATGGGAGCTCTTCTCATCCAAGAGAAAATAATCTCTGTTAGCATGTGATACCCCTATACCACTTCTTAAATGGTGTCTTTCCTTGTTCTCCTTGTTCCTCAGCTATATTTTACCTCTATTATCTTAAAAAGAAGCCTGCCTTAGGAAAAGGGAAGAGATTAGGAGATAGATAAAAATAACAATAATAATAATAACTCCAAACACTTGTATATTTAAATAATAAACCTGGGTTACAACTAAAGAAATAATACAGGTCCCTCAAAAACCAGTTCAGTTCCAGCTTATATTACTAAACCACTGCCATCAAAGTCTATTCCAACTCATAATGACTCTATAGGACAGAGTAGAACTGTTCCACAGGGTTTCCAAGGCTGTAAATCTTTACAGAAGCAGTCTGCCTCATCTTTCTATTGTGGAGCAGCTGGCGGATTTGAACCACTGAACTTTTAGTTAGCAACCAAATGCTTTAACCACCATGTCACCAGAGCTCCTTGCTTGTAGTAGTGTTATTTATAAAATACAAATTAATTCATTAGGAGAAATAAAGTAACTAACCATTTCAGTGCGAAAAGTCATTTCTCGTTCCAAAGATGAGAGGTGAGAAAAATGACGATCATTTTCAAAAAGTGTTATTAAATGGATCCTAGAAAAATGTTGAAGCACCATATTATAAGAGCAGGTTTCATAACCAGTACTAAAATAATTAAATTATAGATAAGCAAAATAGGAAGCCATAAAAATGAAAAATAAATTTTTATAACAAATATTGAGATAACTTTATAATTAACTTACTACTTTGCACATTTTTAGGCATTTATAATCCAGTGTCTCACATCCCTGAAATTCGTCAACTCGCTGGTTCTTAATTATAACCACAGGCCAAACATCCTTGTGGCTCTCTCCACCCCTCCTCCTGCCCCAGACATCTGAATTAGAACAAAAGCAGATTTTTGTTTTGTTTTTTAAGTTTCACAAGTGACTCTAATGTTTCAGGTTTGGGAAATACTGCTCTAACTAGTCAAAACCCATTTGGAATATAATTTTAAATAAAATTATTCCAGATTAAAGTAATCATAAATTAGTATGATAAGGGATCAACTTTCAAGTACCTTATAAACCAAGGTACTGTATTAGTGCAACTTAAGCTGTAGGCAGTTTAAAGTAACAGCATATTTTATAAGTAAAATTATCATAGTCAGCAATCATGTTATCCTTAATTTATATTAGTAGATGCTTCCTAATGATATAAAAAATAAGCAAAATTCTGTACATCAATTCTGTTTCTCACTAACCCTCACTGACAATAAGATACAAGCTGGGGTACCCATAGTTGCAGGAAATGCTTCCTAGCATTACAGTCAGTCTAACATCAAAAAGTCCCTGCAGACTAAGTAGCCAGTGCAGCACTGTACCAATAGAACATGAGGCCAATCAGGAGTAAAGATCTTAAAGCTCATTTTGAAATTATAATGTCAGAGGGAAAATATTATTATTTAGATCTTATTTTTACAAAAGGATTTCATGTAAAACAATGTTATGTGTATATAAACTTGAAACGCTCAGTCATTTAATTCTGCATTCCTACTTCAGAGCCTGTCTTCATTTCTACCTGATTGACAATTGACAGGTGCTAGTAAAACTTCAGTTCTAAATTTTTGTCACTAACAACAGAGCATAAAATAAGGGAGGTTCTTAGATGAAAGAAGCATGCAAAATATACTGTAAAAAAAAAGCTGGGTATGTAAATAAATATAAATATAATTCATATATGGCTATTCTCTTAATGTATCTATTTTGTGAATGCTGTTTCACCTGTGAGGTTTATGAAAAGTATTATATACATCTCTATCATTTATACAAGACCAAACAGTCAACATTTACCCTAAAGCAAAAATAAGAAGCTAAGGGTGGGTTGGGGGGAAGCTAGATTAACAGAAACAGAACAACCAGAATGGAAATGAGAATTTGACACATTGTGAAAAATGCAACAAATGTCACTGAAAAATACACATTTGTTGTTATTATTGTTATGTGCCATCAAGCTGGACCTGACTCATAGCGACCCCTCCTTGGGTTTCCGAGGCAGTATCACTATGGAAGTAGACTGCCCAACCTTCCTTCTGAGGAATGGCTGGTGGGTTTGAACCGCCAGCCTTCTGGTTAGCAGTCAAATGCCTTAGGCACTACGCTGCCAGAGCTCCCGAACAATACACATAGAAACTGTTAAATGGAAACCTAATCTGCTGTGTAAATTTTTACCAAAAACACAATTAAATCATAAATAAATACATTTAAAAAGTGAATTAGTATACATATATTCTATACATTGGAGAACAGTGATTATTTTATTGTATACAAACACTTACGGCAAATTTTAAGCCAAGTATTATTCATTTCAAGCTGAAACTAAATCTTACCAGTGTAAAAATCCCACAAAGGCAGCTGGAAAAAGAAAACAAAAGAGACATTAAAGGCTGTTTATTATAAAATACCTTTAAAACAAGTATTCCAAATGTACTTCCTTATATGTCTAGACAAGGAAAGAAAATATGCGTATGCAGGCAAGATGAATAGCTCTCTCTTTCTATACATGCATAGGAAAAATTACAGAAGGTCATAAACCTAATTGTTAACAGTGCTTACCTCTAGAGGGGGGATGTGAGGATAGATGGGAATGATCTGAAAGGCTTTTACACCTAATTTTGATAATTTGTAAAAGTGATGAAATACTGAATTATTTTGATTTGTGTGTGTGTGTATGTGTGTGATTTTCAGCAGTATTCTTGACTGTTCACTGATCTCTTATTTCTCATTTCTTTATATGGTATTTTTAAAGGAAGATTCTTTCAGAAAGGATTCTAGCTACCAGAAGCCATTGTGCAAAATATTCATGAATTACTTCATGAAGTTTTGAGAGCACTCTGACTCCAGAGGAGACTCACTCAAGGGGCTCTTATACAAGCATGCCAAATGGCTCCAGTTTCAGGTCCTTTGCACCTGTTGTCTCCTCAGTCCAGAGCCCTTATGCGTCAATCAACTGCATAGCCTGCATCCTCACTTGCCCAGAAACAACTTATCTGTTATTTTGGAGTTACTATGCCAACCATACCAACACCCTGTGAATAAAGCTTTACTAGGGAACTGTGAAGGAGCTCTGGTAGCATAGTGGCTAAAGCGCTTGACTGCTAACCAGAAGGCTGGCGGTTCAAACCCACCAGCCACTCCTCGGAAGGAAGGTTGGGCAATCCTACTTCCGTAGTGCTAATGCCTCGGAAACCCAAGGAGGGGTCGCTATGAGTCAGGGCCGACTCGAAGGCATATAACAACAACAACAACAGGGAACTGTGAAGAAGCTCTGGTGGCGCCATGCCTAACGCATTTGGCTGCTAACCAGAAAGTTTGTGGTTCAAACCCACCAGCTGCTCAACAGAAGGAAGATGGGGCAATTTACTTCCCAAGATTTTACTGCCTCAAAAATCCAATAGGGATCACTATGAGTGGAATCAACTCAATGGAAGTGGGGTAGGGAGCTCTGAGACAGGTCAGATTGTGACAGTCATCTGGGGTGGGGTTTTTTGAGAAGTTAAATCCAGCCCGCCCTCTCTAGCAGCTGGAAGCTCCTGATTTTCACCACTACCAGCTGCTCCACAGGAAAAAGAAGAGACAGTTGGCTTCCATAAAGATTTACAGCTTTAGAAATCCTATGAGATCATTCTACTCTGTCTTATAGTGTCACTATGAATCAGAATCAACTGGATGACAGTGGATTTTTTTTTTTTTTTTTTTATGGAGCTGGTAAAGGATCCCTGGTGGCACAGTTGTTGAAGTGCTTGGTTGCTAACCAAAAGGTTGGCAGTTCTAACGTAGCAGCCACTCTGTGAGAGAAAGATGTTGTAGTCTGCTTCCACAAAGATTTACAGCCTTGGAAAACCTATGGGGCAGTACTGCTGTGACCAATAGGGTCACTATGAGTCAAAATTGACTCAACTGCAGTGGGTTTTTTTAATGGAGATAGAGAACAGGAAGAAATAGGCCAATTTAAAATACCACAAAACCCACTTGTTTTACAGAGGTTTGGAGTCTTTGGGTGGTGCAAATAGCTAAATGGTAATGGCTGCCAACCCAAAGGATGAAGGTTCTGGTCCACTTAGAGATGCCTCAGTAGAAAGGCCTGATAATCTACTGCCAAAAAACAGCCATTGAAAATTCTATGGAACACAATCTACTTTCCCACTCACAGGGTTGCCCTGAGTTAGAGTCACCTCCACTGCAACTTTTTTTTTTTTTTTTACAGAGGTTCTAAATATTCTTTAGATTGCTATAAACCCTTGGTTAATTTAAATATTTTTAAAATGCTGGTTTTGATAATTTTCCAAGTATTTGCTTTGCTTTTACAGAGGAGTGGATTTACTGAGGTCCTTATTCTGCCATTCTGGAAGTCCTGCCTCCCCTCCATGATTTATTTCATAATGGTATTCTTGTTATTATCCCAAATCGACTTCTTATTGTTGTTGTTAGGTACTGTCAAGTTGGCTCCAACTCATGGTGACCCTATGTACAACAGAATGCAACACTGCCTGGTCCTGCGTCATCCTCATAATCCTTGCTATGCTTGAGACCATCATTGCAGCCACTGTGTCAGTCCAGCTCCTTGGGGGAGGGAGGGGTCTTCCCTTTTTTCACTGACCCTGTAATTTACCAGGCATGGTATCCTTCTCCAGGGACTGGTGCCTTCTGACAGTATGACCAAAGTATGTAAGACCAAGTCTGGCCATTCTAGCTCCCAAGGAGCATTCCAGCTACATTTCTTCCAGGACAAATTTGTTCATTCTTCTAGCTGTCCAGGGTATTTTCAGTATTCTTTGCCAACACCAAAATTCAAAAGCAACAACTCTTCTTCGGTCTTCCTTATTCATTGTCCAGCTTCCATACACATAACAAAAACTCAACAAATTAAACTCACTGCCATCAAGTAGATTATGACTAATAGCAACCCCCACTGGGTTTCCAATGCTGTAAATCATTATGGAAATAGATTGGTCCATCTTCCTTCCGAGGAGTGGCTGGTAGGTTTGAACTTTTTATACTATAATCACTAAATCTATTAATTCTATCTAATATGCCAAGCCACCTTGAAATCAAGCCTATTCCTTCTCTCTCAACTTGAAGCAGATGCCCACGTAATGAGACATCATTACCTTTAAGATATGCAGCACTGCCTTATGTGTATCCTCTTTGCTATTCGCCTTTTATTTTCTATCCAAACCCATTCATATTATATATTCTGGCAAAAACTTTTAAAACTTATGTATAAGGAAAAGTAAAAGATCAAATATCCTACCAAACCCATCTAACTTTCCAAAGCACCTCAAAATCTTCTGTTCTCTCTCATTTCCCTCCCCCTACTCTATATTCCGGGAGCTCTGGTAGCATAGTCCTTAAAGGCACTTGACTGCTAACCAGAAGGCTGGCGGTTCAAACCCACCAGCCACTCCTCAGAAGGTTGGTCAATCTACTTCCGTAGTGACACCACCTCAGAAACCCAAGGAGGAGTCGCTATGAGTTGGTTTTTGGACTCTGTCTGCTACCCCTGCAAAAATGATAAGGTGTAAAGATGCCAGTAAATTAAGTATGAAGTGCTCATCAAACCTCCAGAGAAGGTTTGAGCAAAAAGCATGTCTCTTGAGCCTCTGAATCCTATCTCAACCAGTCTCATTAACCTAGCCTTAACACTTTACTGAGAAACCATTTTTGACACAAGTACTCCCAACTTCTCTCTTCTTCAACATTTCTCTAAATATCCTTCTATAGTAACTTTGCTTTCCTATTCTCTACCATCTCAGGAAAGGACAGAGCTCTCCTCTTTTCAACACTTACCTTCTTAAACATATGCCTTTCATTTCATCCCTTTGAATATTCTAAGACTTTGCTCCATCAATTATTATTTCACTCAGAACTTCAATCTCTCCCTCTCCCTTTGATCCTTCCTTTTAGCTTTTAATTCTTCTAGGCCTTAACCCTCAATCTAATAACCCTTCAAACTATGGGATTCTCTCTACTCTCACTCCCCCACTCCCTAATGTGCATGCATGTTCTCTATGTCTCTTTCTTTCTTTCTCCTTCCCCATTCACTCATAAGACTCTTGGCCAATCTTTCTCCTACAGTTCCTGTAACTCTTTTTTTTATTATAGTAAGTATCTAGGTAACAAAACATTTGCCATTTCTACAATCTTCGTGTGTACAGTTCAGCCACATGTACAGTGCCCCATGTTGTTCAACCATTACCATTAACTGTTCCTGAATTGTTCCATCACCCTTACACCTATAACTCTGTTATATGTTATATATATAACTCTGTTAAATGACCAGTGATCCTTTACTTATCAAATCCAATGGTTTCCTTCAATTCTTATAATTTTCAGCGTCTCTGTAGCATCTGATCCAACTCTTGACTTTTTTCCTCTCTCATCTTTGCATCACACAGAACTCTCCTAAGCTCTTTTATTTTTCTGGAAGTTCATTCTCATATGCTTATCTAGTTTCTCCTTTTCCTTTCATTTCTTAAATGTAAATTTAAAAATTTTCCCCAAGTATCTTTCCTTTGCCCCTTTTTTCTCTCTTCACTTGTTATCCATTGGCAATCTCACTCAGTCTTAGAGTTTCAACTATCACTTCTATATGGATAATCTCCAAATCTATCATCTTTAATCCCAAACTATCCCCTCCCTCTGAATAATGGTCATATATATCCAAGAATGTCCTAGACATCTTTATCTGTATGCTCCAAAAACCCATTGCCTCCAAGCAGATTCTAACTCATAGCAACCCTATAGGAAGGAGTAGAACTGCCCCATTGGGTTCCCAAGACTGAAGTCTTTATGGAAGCAGACTGCCCCATCTTCTTCCTGTGCTGATGGGTTTGAACTGCCAACCTTTTGATTAGCAGCCAAGCACTTAAACACTGTGCCCCAGGGCTACTCTATATGTTCCATAAACCAAAAAACAAACCCACTGTTATTGAGTTGATTCCAACTCATAGCAACCTCCATTGGGTTTCCAAGGCTGTAAATCTTTACAGAAGTAGATTGCCTCATCTTCCCACAGAGCAGCTTGTAGGTTTGAACCACAGACCTTCTAGTTAGTATCCAAATGCCTTATCCACTACACTGCCAGAGTTCCTAATATGTCCCAACTCATTGTTGTCAAGTCGATTTGGACTCATAATGACCCCTCCTTGGGTTTTCAAGGCAATTATCACTATGGAAGGAGATTGCCCAGTCTTCCTTCTGAGGAGTGGCTGGTGGATTTTAACTGCCAGCCTTCTGGTTAGCAGTCAAATGCCTCAGGCACTATGCCACCAGAGTTCCCTGTATGTCCCATGTTGTTGTTGTTATTATGTGCCATCGAGTCAGACCCGACTCATAGCGACCCCTCCTTGGGTCTCTGAGGCAGTATCACTACGGAAGTAGATTGCCCCATCTTCCTTCAGAGGAGTGGCTGGTGGGTTTGAACCGCCAGCCTTCTGGTTAGCTGTCAAGTGCTTTTAGCCACTATGCTACCAGAGCTCGTCCCATAGATACCTAAAACTCATACATCCAAAAGTAATTGTAGACTTCCTCTAAAAACATTCATTTTTGTCTTAGCCCATCTATTTTCTATAGCCACCACCATGACTTCTCCCAGTAACTCAGATTAAGGCCCATCTTCTCTGGCTCTCGTGTCTCCCTGTTTCCCTGCTTCCTGCCTGCCCTACCCACCACCAACTTAGTCCTGTCAACCTGTCTCCATCAACTCTCACATCTACCCTTACGTCTTCGTTACTACTGCTGCTATCCTAATTGAAAATAGTATGAATTATTGACTTGATGCTTTTAATAGTTTTCCACTATCATTTCTGCTTCCTTTCTCACTCCATCTCTGCTCCATCTTACACAGTGACACCAAGTTAATTTTTTGGAAGTACACGTCACTCTATTTTAAAATCATTTAATACCAACATTGTGAAAGTACTAAATGCTACTGAATTGTTCACTTTGAAATGTTTAGTTTTGCTGTGTGGATCTCATCTCATTAAAAAAAAAAATGCTTATCAATGAAAAAAAAATCATTCACTGTTTTCCACCATCTACAGAATGAAGTGCAAATGTCTTAAACCTAACTTTGGACTAGACTCTTCAGACTCTCCCAACCAACAATTTCAACTTACTTCCTACTTCCTCTTCTTTTATTATTACTTTTAACTTTTTCCTATTTCTTCTTCTTTTTTGTACCCTTTCTTTCAACCTGAATTTTCATTCATAATTCTTTCACTTTTATCATGCTATTTTATTAGCTTCTTATGTTTCTTGTTTCTCATTCCATATATGCAAATTTTGGTCATAATCACAATTCAGATCCCACCTTTTCCTAATAGTCTTCCCTGATATAATGATCACTTTCCATCATAGAGTATTAAAGAGCTCTGGCAGTGTAGTGGATAAGGCATTTTGCCAGAAGGTTGGCAGTTCAAACCCACCAGCTGTTCTGCAGGAGGAAGATGAGGCAATTTATACCCATAAAGATTTACAGCCTTGGAAACCCAATGGGGAGCACTATGAGTCAGAATCGACTCTATGGCAATGGGTTTGGTTTGGCTTTTATCCTAAAGTATTAATTGCCCTATTTGTACAAATAGAGTCAGTCATTATTTCATTCAGCATTCATTGAGTGTCTTCAATGTGTCATACGTGAGTGCATTGGTATCCGTGTTTGGGATAGCAAAACAGCTTGGTTTCCAAGGACAGGTTGATTTTGGATATGGGATGTATCTGTTGGCATAATTAAAACCAAAACCAAAACCAAACTCACTGCCATCAGGCAATTCTGACTCATAGCAAGCCCTACTGGGTTTCCAAGGCTGTAAATTTTTATCGAAGCAGACTGCTCCATCTTTCTTCAGTGGAGATACTGGTTGGTTTGAACCACCAGCCTTTTGGTTAGCAGGCAGGTGCTTTAATCACTACACAACTAGAGCTCCTTTGGCATAATTGTTGTTTTTATGTGCCCTGAAGTCAGACCCAACTCATAGCGACTCCTCCTTGGGTTGCCGAGGCAAAATCACTGTGGAAGTAGATTGCCCAATCTTCCTTCCGAGGAGTGGCTGGTGGGTTTGAACTGCCAGCCTTCTGGTTAGCAGTCAAGTGCCTTAGGCACTATGCTACCAGAGGCATAATTAGACATCTGAAAATACCTAAATATGAACTCCCGTTTGTTATTCCTCAAGTATTGCTAAGTATTGTTATTCCTCAAGAATTATTACTCCAAGTGTGGAAATTCATTCTACTTTAATATCAGCAGACAATTTACCATAAAAAAGAAATTACAATAACTTAGGCTGGGAGACATTTACCTATCTATCAATATATGGTGGTAGCCCATCTGAAAGAGGACTAGGTCCAAAACTGATTTTATTTAAACAGTAACAAAATTTAGGTTACCTCTTAAATTACAGAAAGTGAGGGAGTTAACTAGAGGAAGAAAATTTTACAGGTGCTTAAACAAGGAAGAAAGTTCCCCTAAATTTAGGCATTGAAGATCCACAGCAAGATGAAAATAAATGGATACTAACATGGAGCAATATATTGTCTACTCTGGCTTTATTTTCATTATTAATAAAATCAACTAAACTTTTCAAACACTTCTTTTATCTTAAGGTGCAAAGGAACATGATGTCTGTCTCCCAAGAGACAGCCTATTATTTAGACAAGCTGTGATAAGTGGCTGCCTTGAGGTTTTGTTGATAACACAGGGGTAACCAACATGCCAGAAAGCATGGCAACAGCTTTTAAAACAAAGACTAAGGGAGTTGAGAACTGTCTGCTATTATCCAGAGCTCAGACTGTTATAGGGCCTTTGTTGTTGTTGTTACGTGCCATCGAGTAGGACCTGAGCTGGTACGGAAGTTGATTGCTCAACCTTCCTTCCGAGGAATGGCTGGTGGGTTTGAACCGCCAGCCTTCTGGGAAGCAGTCAAGTGCCTTAGGCACTATGCTACCAGGGCCTTTAGAAACCCACTGGACTGATCTTCAAGGTTCACCGCAACTACTTCAAACTGTGGGCTCGGAGGGAAGAGCCTGCGGGTCCTTCTGACCCCTGGCCTGCTTCTCTGTGCCCTCACGGGAGGGTGTCTAGTCCGTGGCGCCACCAGGACTCTCCCCGCTCCACTCTGCTCACCTATGCACAAATTGGTCCTGCTCGCGAATTTTTGAGTCTGCAAGATATGCACCTTTTCGCGGAGCTGATCGAGGAAAGAACGGAGGAATCGGAAGCGGCCAAGTAGACGGTTCCTTGCACCCACTTGCAGTCGAAGGCAATTCGCAGGTCTCAGTTGTCGGGTTCTTCGGGACAAGAATTCCCGGGCGCCCCCTAGCAGGCTCCCGCCGCCTACAGGCGAAGGCTGCCGAGGCAGCACCTGCGTTTTCACCTGCTCCTGCGGCGGCTCCTCCGTCTCCGGCTCCCCGGCTCCGGTGGCCTGGCGCCGCCGCTTGGACTGCGTGGAACGAGAAGATTGAAGCGGCTCGGGAGCCGCTTCTTTGAGCTTACTCCTCGTTTGCCCGACCATTTTCTCATAGTCCCTGTTCGGATGGCTCTGGATCACTCTCCCGGCCGGCCCAGCCGAGTTCGAGCGAGGTCCAGAGAGGCCGGGCTCAGCTCGCAGCCTCAACGACTCATCGCCGCCGCCGTTGCAGGCGCCCTGGTCGTCATGGCGACCGCGGAAACTCAGTGAGGGGGGTGTGGTGCGGTCTCGGCTGCCCCGTGCCCCCAGCGTGCCGCGCGCCCCCGTCCGCTCCCACCGTCCCCAGCGCAGCTGAATCCGCACCCGGGTGTAGTCATCATCCACACCGCTCTGGGCCATTCCGGTACTGGCTGCCCAATCCAGGAAGCTCTCCGCGTTTAATTCCTTTCTTTGAGTTCAGACTTAGCTTTGGCACATTTACCAAAAGGTTGTATGTCTCGAGGTTATTAAAAAAGAGAAGAAATCCTAGTTGGCAGAAATTACCTTAGAAAGACAATGTGCTCGCCTACGAGCACATGGCATTGGGCATTCAACGTCCTGTCTTGTCCGCTGTGGTACCCGAGGTTCGGCAGCACCGACAGATCGGCCCAAGGCCACAGAGCAGCAAGTAACAGAGCCGGGGTGGGCTTCTGTGCTATCTGAGATAGCGCGGTTTCCCCTTCCAGGACCAAACCCAAAACCATCAAGTTGATTCTGATTCATAGTGACTCTGTGGGGTAGAGTAGAACTGCCCCCAAAGGTTTCTAAGGCTGTAAATCTTTACAGAAGCAGACTGCCACATCCTTTTTCCGTGAAGTGGCTGATGGGTTCAGGAGGAATGCCTTAACCGCTGTGCCAGCAGAACTCCTTTCCAGGACCCAAAGCAAAAAAAAAAAAACCAAGGCCACTGATGAAAAGGAGTCAGTTTCAACTCACGGCGACCCCCATTGGGTTTCCAAGGTTGTAAGTCTTAATGGAAGTGGATTGCCTCATGTTCCTCCTGCAAAGCAGCTGGTGGGACTGTGAGGTTAACAGCCAAATGCCTTACCCACTGCGCCCCCAGAGGTCCTTTACTTTCCTGGACCAAAAAAGAGGAAAAAAAAAAAAAAAAAGAAACTCACTGCCCTCCAGTAAGATCCACCTCATAGTGACACTTCCTTAGGTTTCTGAGGCAGTGTCACTACAGAAGTACATTGCTCAATCTTCCTTCTGAGGAGTGGCTGGTGGAAACCCACCAGCCTTCTGTTTAGCAGTCAAATGCCTTAGGCACTACGCCATCAGAGCTCCTCTTTTTCAGACAGCGCCTGCTAATTTATTCTAAAAGTAAAATTTACCTGTTTCAATAAGATTCTTCAAAATTCTTCAACCCTAGTGCTCAGTGCTCTCCTCACCCAGGACCAACCAAGGGGGCAGCTCTCAGCCTCACAGTCTCTGCACACTCACATAAGATTCCACAGTGGGGGGACACAAATGGACAGGAGCTGTTAAGTGTTCCACGGCCTCTGTCACAGGCAGTACCCCTGGGGTCTGCATAGCTTCACTTCCCTTCCATTTAATTATGGGTGGGATTGAACTCCTTAATTCCCAGTCCATCCCCCAATCTGTGGCTCATTTGTGGCCAACTTAATCTTGCTAATACAATACTGTTTAAAAATGTTCATAGGTCCTCATAGTCCACAGATAGTGTCAGCATCTTTGCTTGTTAATCAATGCCTTCAGTAATCTGCCCCAATCTACCTCTTCAACTTTAATTTTCTACTTTCTGGGACACATATCTCCATTGCAGCCATTCCAAGTGAGGTCCTAACTATCCCTTTACTCATACTGAAAATCCATCGCATGACCAGCTTCCTTTTCTCCCTGTCCATCTGAATTCTATCACCTTCTAAGCATCAGCCCATTTCTTCAACTCCAATTTTTCTTCCCTTCTAAGGCTTTCATCTTGTCACTTATTTTCATCTTTTCACTTACTTTAGTTCAATAAATGTTAGTATTGTTAATTTATTATTGTGTAAACTTTATTCAAATGAACATTTATGACCATTCCTGGGACTGTGTTTGGTGCTTAAAATGTTTCTCATTTAATTCGCACAATAACTGTGTGCAAATTTGGAAACTGAGGATCAGAAGGCTAGTAACTTGAGCAAGTTTTAACAGTAAATTCTAGCTGTCAAACACTGAGCTTATGATGTATTTATAGGTAATTGATAAAAAAAAATCTTAAATGAATATGCAAACTCAGAACAAAACATTTTTTAAAAACATGCCTTTACCCTTGTCTAGCTCTTGAGAGTTCAAAGCTGCTCATTTTTCACAATTCAAAAATTAATCTTTTTGTAAGTATGTTCATCATGATTTATTTGCATCAGTGAAAAGTTTATGAATATCCTCAATGTAAAGTAATAAACTATGGAACACTCATAATGGAGCATTATAGACACTACAGTCATATTTCCAATTAATAGTAATATAGGGAAGTATTAATGATATTGTGTTAAAGAAAAAAAAAACACGACATACTGTATACTTGAGATAAATAGTAAACATGAAAGATTAACTATGTGTCATATACTTAGAACTATCTGTACCTGATGTGTAGTTAGGACTGACATGGAGGACTCACATAGGAAGATTATCAGTGTAGGACTGTGGGCTAGAAATTTAGCTACTCTAGGACTAATTTCCCATCCGAAAATTAGGGAAAGTTCTATCTGTCTTACTAGATGGTTGCTAGGATTAAATGAAGTAATGCTTGTAAAACAATCATTGCTCTATAAATGAATGTTCCTTCTTCTTACTCTACTAAATCTTCAGTGTGAACTATGAATGTTATTCTATTTAGTATTTTTCTCACCTTCATTTTTTTCATCAAGTCATATATTAGTTTTATTATTAAACACTAAATGAGCTCTGGTGGCTTAGTGGATAAAGCATTTGGCTGCTAACCAGAAAGACAGCAGTTCAAAGCCAACAGACACAGTTATACTCATCAACAAGGTAGGTGGTATCTTCAAGACCAATTAAAACAAGGATGGAAAGCCAGAGCCTCTGTGCCCCACAGTCTTCACTAGTTGTTCTAGAACAATTCTTGAAAGTCCTTCAGCATTTGAAAAGAATTTACACTTAGATTTAGCTGCAAGCAGTTGAGAGATAAGACTTTCAGAGACCTAGGAAGTAAGAATGGAGAGCGGGATCAAGAAAAGTACACAATAGGAGAGTTCCGGCAAGATGGCAGACTAGGCAGAAAGACTGCACAGACCCTCTTCAACAAAGAAAAGGGAAACCAATTAACACAGACACAGAAGATAATCCTGGACCCCTGAGCCTTAAAAGGAAGGATATAGAAGTGGACTAAACTCCAACTAGCAAAAGAATTTGCATGAAAATATGAAAAAAGGAGACAGACGGAGCTGCAGTCTGGCAGTGATCCTGAGTGATCCTGATGGCACAGACAGCTTGGAGATTCCCGAGTGGTAGTAGGACTTAAGAATTAACCTAAAAATCAGCCCTGCTAGCCAGGGACTGCACACAGGACTGCTCCGGTGGCTGGGGAATAAACGGAGAAGGTGAAGAGAAAGGCGGGCTGAGATGTGGACATTTGCCGGTCAGGAGGTACCGCCATTTTGAAGGTCTAAAAGCGGCTATTTTGGATACTTAAAGAGACAGCCCTCTGGCAGATTCCTGGGGCTTAAGAACACGTTCTGCTTTCCAGCAACTGCAAGGACCCTCCAGACCTGCAAGACTGAAAAGTTTTTTGAAGGTTATTCAATTGTAATTTGTGTCTAATTGAGTGGGAGACAACAACAGTCCCCA